CAGGTCCCACAAGACAGGCAACATGTCATGAGACTACGTCACATGACACGTGGCACAAGTGAGCCCTTACAGGCATTAAATATCAGTACTGACCCAACATGTTATTCACAGGCTGTGGGGTATCCACAGTGGCGTGATGCGATGGACCAAGAGTTCAATGCTCTTCTTCATAACAGTACTTGGAAACTTGTACCACCGCACCCGGGTATGAACATCATTGGATGTAAATGGGTGTTTCGTACAAAACGCATAGCTGATGGCACCGTAGAGCGCTACAAGGCGCGTCTCGTGGCAAAAGGATTTAATCAAGTGGCCAGGGAAGACTTTTTTGATACATTTAGTCCCGTAGTCAAACCGACTACGGTACGCATGTTGTTCTCGATTGCCATGTCGAGAGGATGGACTCTACGCCAGTTAGATGTCCACAATGCCTTCCTCAACGATCACTTTACAGAAACTGTTTATATGAAGCAACCGCCTGGCTACCAGGATCCAACACATCCAGAATATGTGTGTCACCTTCAGCGCTCCCTGTATGGCCTAAAGCAGGCCCCACGGGCTTGGTTCAAAAGGCTCCATGACTTTTTAGTTTCTGCAGGTTTCTCCCCATCGAAAACGGATGTCTCCCTCTGATTGCTGTAATTTGGGGCAAACAAATAATACCCGGAGTATTCGGGTTGTCAAACCACAGAGAGGTGGGGTACTAATCACTAGCTACTAGGTTACTCATATGAAACTAGTCCGAACAAAACTTGAAGGTTGATTGATTGCATAAAATAACAAGCAGAATAAAATAAGTAGCAAGGTTTTGTAGACAATAGAGCAAAATAGGATTCTTGGGATCACAAATGTTTAATCACCTAGTGCCAATTAACGTTTGTAATATTTGGTTTGGAATTAAGATTTGTATGGGAATGCAAAGTAGAATCGAATTACTCCCGTAATCTCTATTCCTAGTGAATTTCCACTCCCATGGCTTAAACACCCAATAAGATCAAAGATCAGCATTCAATTATTCCTAATTACTACCATCTCCCGATGAGCAATAATCTAGAATAAACTTCCCCTAATATGTTCCCCTTTCCCAAGGACCAACCATTAGGTGCAATCGTGTGTGCCCTAATTTATGCCTCAACTCCCATTGGTGACACAAACATGACTGTGAAGCTAGTAATTTAGGCCTTTAACTACCAACAACAACAGATTAAAACAAGATTGCAACACAAATCATAAAACCAAACATAAATATATTAAGAAATTAACGAACTAGGCACATAGGTTCATAAACAAATTCACCCAAAAATCCTTAAAGAATTTAGCCGAGCATGGCTAAATTATACATAGCAAATATGAATAAAGGATTACAAATCATGAAAAGAGTACAAGAATTAACCAAGCGATTCTCCCAAATCTCCTTGGCTTCCTCCTTGCTTCCAAAGACAACTTGAGCCTCTTGATTTCTCTCTTTCTTGTCTACAAAGAACTCTAAAAATCTCTCGGTTCCCGTCTCTCTGTCTGTTTAGGGTTGAGGAAGGAGGGATTTTATAGTGGGTACAAAGTTGAGATGAAATAGGAATCTTGTACCAAATTGGACTCAAATTCTAATTCCTATATTTAAATAAAGAAATTGTCGTCTTTAATGATATTTAGAATTTGGAAGATTCCTTCAATTGCTAACTTTTAATATGGAGATATGAGCCTTGAAATCCGCGCAATTGATATTAGGAAAAGAGATCTCGCGCTTGTATTGAATTTTGCCCAGCTGCGCCACTTTAAGCGTCTGTTTTTATCCCAGAAACAGACGCACATTCGACGCGTCGAGAATTTTCTCGACGCGTCGAGGCTTCCTGTGCGCGAATTAATTAGCTATTGGAAAATTTCGACGTGTCGAGCCCTTGGCTCGACGCGTCGAGTCCACTGGGCCCCGAACTCATCCAAAATTGCTCCAAACTCATCCTTGAACTCCCCTTGGTCATATCTTTGACCTAAAATGGTTCAAAAACACTAACAAACACCGTAAAATATTCAAAACAAGTGCGAACCATAATTAAATGATAATAGCAAGGAAAACATGTATTAAAAAAGCAAAATTAAAGAGCTTAATTACTGTGATGATTCAAAATAACCATAAAAACAAGCACAGATGTGATAACATCACCCCCTCACACTTAAGCTTTTGTTTGTCCTCAAGCAAAACTAAGGAATAAAATCACAAGTCAAAACGTACAAATTACTCATGCTCTCTCTTGCACAACCTTTCAAACCACCAACCCACTTGCTACAAAACAACAAGCTTCAAGAATCAAATTAGTTTGGCACATAAGAGACCCATTTCCAAGCCAATAACCAAGCACCAAGAATTTAAAGCATGTGAGGATCAAATGTGCACAAATACTCAGTTGAGATTATGCAAGATACGGTTCATGAATGAGATCCCTTAGGCTTGCCTTTCATACTCCCCTAGATCAAATCTAAGAATGCATGCTAAGATCAAATAGGACTTTATTTAGCTTGTAATGGGGCTACGGGTGATGGCTAACAAAGAAGTGGTATGGAAAAATTAATCAAAAAGAGAGAATGTCACAATTTATCTAAACTTTTCAAAATTTGGAAGAGATGAGATAATCATAATTCCAAGGAGCAAATTTCTTTTAAGAACTTAGCAACTCTTTGGTAAAGTGGGGATCCAAACTCAAAAACTTTCAATCTCTTTTTTTTTTTCTTTTTTTTTTTCTTTTCTTTGTCTTTGGACTTCTTTTGGATATAGCAAGATAATTTTAATCCAAACTTTCATGACCTCCACACTTGAACATTTGTAACACTAGCTGCTTCTTTTTTTGTAGCACAACTCCATAAAAACTCTTCTTACAGAAAAGATAAAGATAAAAGTTTCATTCTCTCAAGGGTGGATGGGAAATATTTGGCCAAGGGCTAAGGGTTATAATAATGGGGTAAATCAAAGAAAAACAATCACAAAGAGGGGATAAGTGCTTAGCACTTATTTGAACAAACAAAAAGGCACAATGGGGAAACGAAGGATAAAAATATATATATAGGGACAGGTTTAAAGGCTATGGCTAAACAATAATGGCCTAAATCACTTCAAAACATGCAAAACTTAGACATCACTTAGGGAGTAATGAGGCAAGTTCTAGCAAAAACACCCATGACCGGAATCTCACATAAGCCTTCACTAGCAATGCAAAACACAAGATCAAGGATTAATCCAATCATTAAGTGGTTAACAAAGCTATTGGCAAGGGAATAGATCAAATATGTGTTACACCTCAAATCATCCATCACAAATTGAGATGCAGCAAGCACCACTAAGACAAACCACAAACCAACAAGAGAGAGTAATTGTAACTACATGCTAAGACAAGTAACTTATTCACCAAAAATAGCATATGAGTCATCCAAGCAAAAGCAAAATTTTTTAAAATTTTAGAAATATCCCCAAATTAATGATTCCTCCCCCCACACTTAAAACTTTGCATCGTCCCTGGTGCAAGAGAAAAGAGAAAAACTATAAAACAAAAATAATCACGAACTAGAAAGCAATAAAACTAAATAAAACGAATCTAGAAAGCAATAAAATTAACCTAGAAAGCAATAAATATGAAAGAAATAAAAGATAACATGGGGTGCCTCCCATGAAGCACTAAGTTTAACGTCGCTAGCTCGACCTAACCTGGTTATGGAGTGCTCATCCTGGTTGATCCGCGAGTTTGATCTCATCACCCCATAGACTCTTCAAATGCAAATACTCATCATGGGTCACCTTGAGAGTTGGGTCGATGTGCAAAATTGACTTGCACTCAATGATTTTTGGCTCATCAAGAACATTAAATTCCACCTTTTCCTCCCCAAAGTCAAAAATCATGGACCCTTTCCTTGCATCAATCATTGCTCCAATAGTGGCTAGGAAGGGTCTCCCCAAAATGAGTGGAACGTCTAAGTTCCTTTGGACATCTATCACAATAAAATCACAAGGCACAAAATACTTGTCCACACGAACTGGGACATCTTCAAGGATTCCAATAGGCTTTACGATGGATCTATCTGCCATTTCTAGGGTGAATTGGATTGGTTTTGGCTCTCCCAACCCTAACCCTTGACAAAGAGTAAGAGGCATAACACTCACACTGGCTCCTAAATCACAAAGGGATCCCTTTAACGGTCGGCCTCCAATCACACAAGGAATTGTGAACTTCCCCGGATCTCTATGCTTAGGTATATTCCTCCCAATTCCCGGGGTCAACGCTTGATACTCTTGTGCCACAGCTACCATCTCTCGTTCCCCATATTTCTTTTTCTTAGCTAGAATCTCTTTCAAAAATTTTCCATAAGAGGGAACTTGTGAAAGCAAATCAAGTAAGGGAACTGAAACTTTCAAACTCTCAACAATCTCCAAAAACTTTTTCCACCTACTTTCTTTTGTTGTTTCAAGATTTTGAGGAAAAGGCAATGGGGGTACATACCTTCTCACAGGTTTCTCTACTTCCTTTTGAACTTGTGGATTATTTTGCACAGCAATTGGCTCATCTTCTATACCATCAAGTATCTCTTCAATCTTCTCCTCAGCTGTCTTTTTAGGAATTGATGCTTTGATTGGAAGAGGTGGCTCTTCAAGTACTTTGCCACTCCTTGTAACAATTGCATTTACATGCTCCCTTGGATTTTCAGGCATAGCTGGCAACTTCCCTGTGACTTTAGTACTTGATATAGAAGGTTGATTTGCTAATTGCCTTTCAACCATATTTTGGCGAGCTTCCATTTTATCCATCCTTTCTGTAATCTCTAACTGACCTTTAATCAATTTTTCCAACAAAACTTCCGTATTCGATTGTGGTGGGGCCTTTGAAACGGGAAATTTAGATTGAACTTGAGTACCTTGATAACCCAGAGGACCTCTATTAACAAAGTGTTGAGGGTTGGCAGCTCCCACTGGGTTGCTCCATGAAAAGCCGGGATGGTTCCTTGAATTATTAGGATGGTAGGTCCCTTGAGGTTGGTAAGACTGTTGATGAGGCCTATTATATCCCAACATATTAACTTGCTCCATAGAGGTTTGGGAGTTTAACTCGTAGATACAATCCCCTGAATTGTGATTTTGGCTGGTGATTTGGGCAAGTTTTTGAACCATGGAGACCACATTATCCAACTTTGTTGACAAATCGGCTAATTGCCCCGCATCATGAATTCCTCCTACAAGCTTTTGTGGAGACCTCTCCGTGTACCAAGTGGATCCATTCATAGCAATTTTCTCCAATAGTTCCTCGGCTTGTGTTGGCTCTAGAATCGTGAACGAACCACCCGAAGAAGCATCCACCAAAATCCTAGAATTATCAAGCAGTCCTTCATAGAAAGACATCATCAAATCCCAACTTTGAAATCCATGGTGTGGACATTGCCTCTTCAATTCCTTAAATCCCAAGACTCAGTGAGGGACTCAGTTGCCAGTTGCTTAAAGTTTTGAATTGCCCTTCTCATCCTTTGAGTTTTGGAGATAGGATAAAACTTCTTCAAAAATTCTCCATGTAATTTGTCCCAAGTGTCAAAATGGTTATCTGGATGTGAGGATAACCAATCTTCAGCCCTGTCCTTCAGTGTAAAGGGAAAAAGCCTAAGTCTGACAGCATCTTGAGTGACTCCATTTATCTTGAAAGTGCCACAAAGTCGTAGGAACTTGGTGGCGTGAGCGTTGGGATCTTCCGTGGGCATCCCTCCAAATCGATCTGCCGCAGCCATGCCGAGTATGGCCGGATTGATCGCAAAGTTATTGGCCTCCACATTTGGAATATTGATGCTACCATGCTCCTCAACATCCGGAGCAAGGTAGTCAGACATTGATCTCCCTTCAGCTTGGTTTTCTTGTACCCGTGCCATCCTAGTTTGTTTCCTGAGAAACTTGGCTCTTTTCTCAATCTCAAGATTCAAAGGTAATAATCCTTCTTTCCCAAAAGATCGTGTATGCATAAAAAGCCAAGTTCTTAGATTCAAAGCAAAATCACACTCAAGAACAAGAAACTTGTTATGGATTAGCAAATAAAATAAATAAATAAATAAATAAATAAATAAATAAAAAATGGACTAGACTCCTAAAGTAAGACTTTCACTAATGTCAGAACGTAACACCACCTCCCCGGCAACGGCGCCAATTTGATGCGTAGTATATTTGCAAACAAATAATACCCGGAGTATTCGGGTTGTCGAACCACAGGGAGATGGGGTACTAATCACTAATTACTCGCTTACTTATAAGAGCTAGTCTGATCGAAACTTGATGGTTCATTGGTTGCATAAAATAACGAGCAAGAAATAAAACAAATATTAAGGTTTCGTAAGCAATAGAGCAAAATGGGATTCTTGGGATCACAATGTTTAATCACCTAGTGCCAATTAACGTTTGTAATATTTGGTTTGGAATTAAGATCTGTGTGGGAATGCAAAGTGGAATCGAATTACTCCCGTAATCTCTATTCCTAGTGAATTTCCACTCCCGTGGCTTAAACACCCGATAAGATCGAAGATCAGCATTCAATTATTCCTAATTACTACCATCTCCCGATGAGCAACAATATAGAATTAACTTCCCCTAATAAATTCCCCTTTCCCAAGGTCTAACTATTAGGTGCAATCGTGTGTGCCCTAATTTATGCCCCAATTCCCATTGGTGACACAAATATGACTATGAAGCTAGTAATTTAGGCCTTTAATTACCAACAACAACAGGTTAAGACAAGATTGCAACACAAATCATAAAAACCAAACATAAATATATTAAGAAATTAACGAACAAGGCACATAGGTTCATAAACAAATTCACCCAAAAATCCCTAAGGAATTTAGCCGCTCATGGCCATAATAACAGTAAATTCAATGCTTAAAGATAAACAAATAACAACGAGAATAAGAGTAAGAGTGAAAGAGTTCTCCCGAATCTTTCTAGCTAGTTCTCTATTCCAAAGCTAGTTGTAAATCTTCAAGTTGGTCCTCTTTGTGCTTTGCTCTTGATTGCCTTCAAAACACCGAAATCGCAGAAGGAGGAGACCCTAGGGTTGATAGAAGATGATCTTTTTATAGTAGAAACCTGATGGCATCAATTTAGGAGTCTTTCAAATCAACGTCTCTCCGCGATCTCGACGCGTCGAGCCTCCAAAATGTGCGATGTTTGAAGCTACTGGAATTTTTCGACGCGTCGAGGCATGGGCTCGACGCGTCGAATTGCTGATGCTTCGACTTCTTCCTCTTTTGATCATTTCGTGCTTGAAATTCTTCCCTTGCTCTCACGCTCACCCTGTAATGGTGAAGAAAAACACTACCGAACACCGTAAGGCATTCAAAACAAGTGTAATAACATAATCTAACGAGAAAGCAAGGAAAACAAGTAATAAATGGACATGATTCAATAACTTTGTTTCTAAAATGAATCAGAAAAGCTATAAAAACATGCACAGATGTGATAACATCACCCTCTTTCATTATTCCGCGGGGGCGTCACGTGTATTCCTGCTGGTCTACGTGGATGACATTATTATGATGGGCGATGATGCTACTTTGATTGACAAGCTGTTACACCGGTTATCTACTACTTTTAAAATCCGTGACCTGGGCACTCCGATTTTTTTCTTAGGGATCGAGACACTCAACCAGGATGGTAGCTTAATGTTGTCACAACGTCGCTACATGACGGACTTATTGAACCGAGCCGGTATGACAGACTGTAAACCACTAGCTACTCCGGCGTCAGTCACTCAAAGTGTCACACCCTCCACGCAGCCATATGAAAATCCAACACAGTACAGACGGCTAGTCGGGGCCTTACAATATCTGACTATCACCAGGCCTGACTTATCCTTTGCAGTCAACCGTCTCTGCCAGTTCATGCACTCCCCTACTGATGATCATTGGGTTTTGCTTAAACGTGTCCTACGGTACATCAAAGGGACACTCAACTATGGGTTACGATTATCACCTTCGGTGTCGACTTCGGTACATGCCTTTTCCGACTCAGATTGGGCAGGATGTCCGGTAGACAGGAAGAACACTAGCGGGTATGCCGTTTTTCTAGGCTCTAACCTAATTTCGTGGCTTTCCAGGAAACAGCGAACTGTTGCGCGCTCTTCGACTAAAGCCGAATATAAGGCTCTTGCAGATGTCTCGGCGGAAGTTACGTGGATTGTTTCTTTACTTCGTGAACTTGGTTTACATTCAGGGGATCCTGCAACGCTATGGTGTGATAACTTAGGAGCAACATATCTATGCGCCAATCCAGTTTTTCATGCCAGAACCAAACACGTCGAAATCGATTTCCACTTTGTACGGGACAAAGTTGCATCCAGGGAATTTATTGTCAACTTTGTGTCTACCAAGGATCAGCTGGCAGATATTCTCACCAAACCGCTACCGGGGCCCAGATTTGCAGCTCATCGGGACAAGCTCAACGTTGTTTCACATCCTTGTGCTTGAGGGGGTGTGTTAGTAATATTATTAGTTTATTATTATAATTATTATTGAGCTTAGTAATTATGTAATAGTTGGCTTAGTCTTCTATGGCTAACCACTTAGATAGGAGTTCTTTACGTTTGTTATTTCCTTTAGTATTGTAACATCTTATCCTATCAGAATTGAATTTGATTTTCCCTATCTCATCATATATATATATATATATATATATATATATATATATATATATATATATATATATATATATATATATATATATATATATATTTAGGTTCTCGTGCGGGTGAGGGCTTCAGGTGCTGTTGTGCGGTTTAATCTGAGCCATTCATCTCGCTTTAATCAACGTCTAGGATTATCAAAGTTTTTAAAAAAACGTGGTGGCAATTTTGTAATTTTTGCATCTAGGTCAAAATTAAGGTGAGCGGATCTGTGATTAATGTGCGTGAGTTTTGTGCTTAATGTGCGTGTGTTTTGTGCTTAATGTGCGTGAGGTTTGTGCTTAATGTGCGTGGGGATGTGCTTAATGTGAATAGTTGTTAAAACTTAAAGCTAAGTCTGTGAGTTAATACTTAAAGTGCGTGGGTTTTGTGCTTAATGTGCGTGATGTTTGTGCTTAATGTGCGTGAGTTTTGTACTTAATGTGCGTGAGTTTTGTACTTAATGTCAGTAGTTGTTGAAACTTAAAGTCTGTGAGTTAATATTTAAAGTGCGTGTGTTTTGTGCTTAATGTGCATGAGGTTGTGCTTAATGTGTGTGGGGTTTGTACTTAAAGTGCGTGAGTTTGTGATTAAGATCTAACACTTAAGGGGCACCTTAGCTTATACTTCTTTGTTCTAGGCACGCGTTTTTTTTTTTTAATTTTCATTGATTTGAGACGTTGATCTAAATTTGATCAACTGCTCATATTTAACCGCACAACCGCACGAGAAACTATACCCACACCTGAACCTTCCCTATATATATATATATATATATATATATATATATATATATATATATATATATATATATATATAGTTTACTTAATTGGATGGACATGTGCAGAATCTTTAGTCTTGATTTTAAATTTCTAGGGCACTTTGGATGGGGAGAAGAAATAGCTGTGAAGAGGCTATCAAAGAACTCTGCACAAGGACTATCGGAATTCAGAAATGAAGTCATTTGTATGTAAGATTTTCCCTAATAATATATATTATATATTATATATTAGGGCCTTAATTAAGTGGTGCAAGTTGACTAGGCTTATTAAGTGGTCTGGTTGGACTTAATAACTAGTAGTTGTTAGTCAACCAAACACTGTGCCTAATATAACCTGGATTGATGGGATACAGGATTATGGATTAGATAGCACATTCAGTTACGGTACTCAGACCGCTCAGTAGACACCAATACACCATCTAGGGTTCTGAGTCAGGTCTGAGGCAAAACATGGCTGACGGTCTACCGTTAAGAGGCAACACAACAGGAACATCAACTATGGCTGGAGATCTACATGGCTACGCTTCCGCTATCATACGAGGTCAGGTTTCTCGTATACTATGGTTTATTACAGTTAGACTATTGTATATCTAACATTTGGTTTCAGAGCCTTTATAATCTCTGTCTGGTTGATTGAGTTGCCTACGATCAACATTAATTTCTTTCATATACATTAAGGGTTTTTCGTATATGTTTTATATTAATATTTTGAAATCAGCATACAATTATATAATTTTCCTTGTATGTGTAGAATGAATTAATGTACTGTAGTTGTGTTTTTTTGAAAAAAAAAAAAATTCAACATGAAGCACAGTTATTTTCATATTTCATCTGGACTTCGAAATATTAATTATATCCATTGTTTTGGCTTTGGTTGTTTGACTGGGAGTTTCCTGGGAGAACACTCAAGTCATTAAGGTAACTACCATTATTTTATATTTATTTACCATATTAATGTTTGCTTTAGTTAATATTATATATATTAATTTTGGTAAATGGTAATTATTTGGTTTGATATTACCATATTAATATTTCTTTAATTAATATTGAATATTACTTTTAGCAAATGGTAAATATATGGTAATTGCTTGTTTTCAGATATTAATGCCCTTTAGTTTCCTCTTAATTTTTGGCATTAAATTCATAATTAAATTACTATTCAATATTTAGCAAATATTATGTATTGAATTTGCTCTTTGAATTTTAATTTAATATTGAGGTTCATATTAAATTGCCTGAAGTATTGCAATTTGTTTAGGATATATATGAGTTAAATGCAAAATCCAAGCATGCTAAGTATTTTTTTTTTTTTATAATTTTATTGTTATAATAATTATGCATTTAGAAAAGCATGTTTTAAGGTTGGATTTAACATATTATTAACTCATAAATTCATTATTAATTACCACTCAATTTTGGATCCTTAGCCAAATTTTAGGCATTATGACCTACTAAATCAGCTTGTTTGGTTTCCCCTTAATTTTGAGCACATTTTAGTTTTATGTGTCTCTGGGACTTTAGAACTTATTTTGAACAAGCTATTTGGGACCTATCTTGAGTCATTAAAGCATGGATCCCACCTTTTTGATTGATATTTTAATAATAATTATAGCTCCTTATAACATGTTTATTAAATTTTAATTATTACTAACTACCATATTTTGGTATTCATCGTTGGTAATAATATTAAGTTTTGGGTCTACTTCAGTATTAGACCATTTTTCATCCATGTTATAATTCATTTAGGACATTGAGGTTTATGAGCCTAATTTGAGTGATTAAGTGCTATAATTATAGTCTTAGCCTATTTAGAGACATTTAAGAATTTAAGGATTTAATTGTTATTTTGGTCATTAAGAATTAATAACTATTGTTTAAGTTGATTAAATTTTTAATCTATCAATAGTTTTTTAAGGCCTTAATAATAATATTAAGTCTTTAATTTTATGGCAAAAGCAATATAGTTGGTATATTGTTAGAATAATGGTAATTTGGTTATTACCTAACTTCAGTCTCCCTAAGTATCATAATAGTCATGATTAATTATTATGTTATAAAATTGAGATTAGTATTTGACATCCCTTAATTACAGTTTTGCCACTTATTAAGCTAAATTCGGCATTATTAATTACTGTTATTATGTTTAGGGGCTAATCTCATTTTATTACTTTTCATAATAATTATCATTTCATGGTAATCTGCTATATTTGGTACATTGGCATGATTACCACTTCATTTTACATGACTATTAATGTTGGTAATTAAGTCCTACCAATAAATTTTTAACTGTACCATTGGACGCTGCATCGAGGCTACTGACACCAACAGTGAAGATGGGAGAATTCTGTAGTTTTTTCTTCTCTTGTGGATCATCATCGTTGTTAGCGCAATGGAGAAATGCGGTTTGCACCATTAAGGTTAGCCATTAATTATCTTTTACAGTTATTATTGATAATTAGTGCTACAGTTACAGTTAACCGCTAATTTGGACTAGTCACATATTTTATCTTTAGAAAATGGAAACATTAAAAGTGCATTACCATACTTTGATTTGTCATTATTATTAATGTTAATAGTGATTATAATGTTACTTATTGTTATTAATAATTAATTAATGATATCATTAATATTGTTATGGTATTTAGATATGCATCTTAAACTGTTTCCAAATAAATTTATGTGACAATACTCCAGTTCAGAAAATAATTTTCTGGACATTAATATTTTTTGGACTTCAAATTTTATTAAGTTTTTAAAATTTTATCTGAAAACGTTTATAAATGTTAGCGGTTTTAACCATTATTTTTCCATATTTAGTCTCTTACATACATAATGTGATAATATTATTATGGCTATTTATTGCTATTTTGGTTATTTGCAATTTTGCCATTCATAATAATAATATTATTATCTGAGTTATGGAGAGTGATTTTGAATCAATTTAGTAATCTTGGAAAAACATATTTGCTAGGCAATTGACTTTTGCCATTAATTCCATAATTCATTTAGTTCTCGGAATTATGATTTAAGTTCTGATTGCCCATATTTGGTTAAGTATGAATAAATGAATATTTGGTTTAAATTCATATTTTTTAGTTGATTCGTACTCTTTAGATTGTTTTATGCATTCGATCACATTAAGTGCATAATATTAAGTTTAATTATGCAATTAGGGTTTGTGAGATTTTGATTTACAAATGCTAGCATATCCTTTTGGTTTGATATTGTTTGAATTTGTAAATTCAGTTATTTCTCATAAATTTGATCTTTATGCATTCAAACATTTTGTCATGGGCTTACAGTTTAACAAAATTTTAAAGTATATATCCAGTATATTATTATTCAAAATGTTGGGTCTCTTTTGGTTTGAACTCATCGATGTTTGAATATTAAGTTTATACTTTAAAATCTCATATTGTAAATTGCTTTAAGTTATGCAATTTATTTGGAATATATGAGTTTAATGCTTAATTTTATGCATGTCTGTCCACCGCATAATATTATGTTTTTAAATTATGCAATTTTATTATGCCTTTAGCAATGCATACTTTGGGATGGAATTATAGTAGTTCCTTATTAAGTTGGACTTATGCATAAACTTTAGTCGCTGTAGTGCCTAAAGTTAAGCACGTTTAGTCCGCTATTTTTAGTTCACCATTTGAGCTTTAATCATAGGTGAATCCTACAGTTTTCTGGTGTATACCATACAGTTTACTGGTTTATACCCCAAATAGTTATACATTAAGTATATATGAATCGGTGAGACATACTAGTTTTAATGGCCATGACTTAAGAACATCTTGTGTCATTAGTCTCCTTAAATTGATACTCTACTTAAGGAATTGTTTTTCAGTGAGACTTAGTCTCTAACCGCCTTTCCTTGGAGTATATTTAGATTTTCCCATCAAAATTTGGTATAATCTGTTTGTTAAAATTTTAAGTATTCCTTGCCAATGTGATTTTATTTCGGTTTATTAAAGAATAGCCAAAACATCTTTAATTTACTGAAATATCTTGAGTTTTCAATCTTGGTTAATTAAGGAAATGCTACAGCATATTCAGCTACCTAAGATTGTTAAGTTTCAATCACATAAAGTTTAGGCAAGAATTTGATAATTGTCTAGTGATCTTATAATTTTAATTTGATTTTGGAGTAGCCACAACATCCTTAATCTGTTAAAATTATATATTAAGCGGTTTATTTTGATCACATAAAGTTTTAGACATATCATTTGTGATTAATTGTATGTAATATGATGAAATTTAGCCCACAGGAAATTTCGTTATATTTGTATAATTAATCAGGATGAAATACTGGACTACGGTCATAATTTAGCCCACAGGCAATTATGTATCGGAATGTAGTTTAGTAGTTTTATCAGTGGAGATAGAAATAAATAAATTTATTTACTTTATGGTTATTTGTAAATAATTTCCAATTCTATCGTGAAGTTTAATTTATGATGTAAACTTTAGATCATATTTCTTAATTTGCTCACAGGGATTAAGAAAAGGAACATGATCTCTTAAGTTTTTTATCATAATGATAGTAATGAATCTTATTGACTAAAACTTTAGCCTACAGGCAAGTTTTATGTCATTTGATTCTTCAACTCATTTGATAATGGTTTCATCACAAATAAATTTTACAGTTGGATCTAATTGAGTAAAACTTTAGCCCACAGGCAAGTTTTATGTCACTAGATTCTTCTGGCTCTTTAGTAATTGAGATAGAATATTATCATAAGGGTTTAATTGGATTTAATAGAATTAAAACTTTAGCCCACAGGCAAGTTTTATGTCAATAAATCCTTCAACTCATTAGATAATAATTTTATCACAATTCTTAGAAATTATAAATTTAGTTCAATTATAATTCTAAGTTTCATGGTTTGCATTGGCAAAACATGTTTTTCAGTCACTTCCCAAAATTTAGTCACTTCTATTAATTAATCCACGAATCTTGCTCGGTTCTTCGGACTAACTGTAGTAAGTTACGTGATTTGACATACCTCTTGGATTCCAATAATGATAAAATGTATCTTTTGAGCCAAATTCTATCTTGGTTTTGAAAGATGTATTTTGTTTATTTTAGTATGTCCAACTATGGTGGGGAAATATATCTTCATTATTTAGTTGGACTTTAATTGGAACCAAAAATTGATTATTTAGTATGTCCAACTAATGGTGGGGAATTATGTCTTCTTAGTTGGTCAATAAATCAATTATGAGTATGTATATTATTAAGTTCATTTATTAATTTCGCTGAAGAATATTTTAGTCAGTGGGAGTGATCATTTAGGAAAAGATCATTAAGATACTCCACTAAAGTTATTGGATTTAATTATTGTATTCATACATTCCAAATTGGGTTGTATGTTAAACAATAAGTCCAAAATATTCCACAAGTATTAATCTTGTATTTGTTTATATAAATTCATAAGTTCAAATTATTGAACATTTGGTTGTACAACATATTTATGAAAATGTTGAACAATATTAAGGAATTTATTAGAACAAAAGCATTTAACTTGTGGTGCACTGTAATTTAATAAATTCTTCGGTGATTAATAGAGTCTTTAGTTTCTTCAAAATTGATCCTGGGCCATTTTGATTTGTAAGGCTCAAAACAATTTTGTGGGACATATAAGTAAGACTCATTATGTTCAGTTCATTTAAAGTGAACATTGAAGTTATTTGGGAAGTTATGGTGTATGATTAAGATTCCAAATTCATGGACTTAGACTTCTGGTTTATTGTCTAAGTTATTGGAATGCTTCTGTGACTTGACTATCTTTTGGCTATTTTTGATGAGTGGGAGTGACAGACGTGTCAACTTCAAGCTCTTAGCTGTTAGAGATAGTACTTAAAGTTAACTTATAAAGAAGTCATGGAATACAGTTAGCATTATGCTAACATTAAGAGATCTCTACTTAAGGCATGCTTATAAAGTTTTAGAGATCATACAGTGTACTCTTTTGTACAATTCGGATGCGTTTTCTCCTTCAGTTGTGCACATAATGTATTTTGAGAAACATCCCTTAAGGTACCGAGAATAAACATAGGGTTTGTTCATTAAGGACCTAAGTTGGAGAATTAAAATGCATGTGACCATAATGGATACTACTCTGATTAAATAGAGGACATATCACTATGATTCGTGTGTTTTGTTCTTTGATGAAGGTTGTGCTAGTACTTGCACCAAGTGGGAGAATGTAAGATTTTCCCTAATAATATATATTATATATTATATATTAGGGCCTTAATTAAGTGGTGCAAGTTGACTAGGCTTATTAAGTGGTCTGGTTGGACTTAATAACTAGTAGTTGTTAGTCAACCAAACACTGTGCCTAATATAACCTGGATTGATGGGATACAGGATTATGGATTAGATAGCACATTCAGTTACGGTACTCAGACCGCTCAGTAGACACCAATACACCATCTAGGGTTCTGAGTCAGGTCTGAGGCAAAACATGGCTGACGGTCTACCGTTAAGAGGCAACACAACAGGAACATCAACTTTGGCTGGAGATCTACATGGCTACGCTTCCGCTATCATACGAGGTCAGGTTTCTCGTATACTATGGTTTATTACAGTTAGACTATTGTATATCTAACATTGTATAGCCAAATTACAACATCGTAATCTTGTGAAACTCCTGGGATGGTGCATTAGTGGGGAAGAAAAGATGTTGATCTATGAATACATGCCTAACAAAAGTTTGGACTTCTTCATATTTGGTATGATTATCTTTTCATATATAATAAAATCATATATAGGAATATTTTGCAACATAACTAACTAAAACCTTTTGTAGATCAAACCAGGAAAAAGTTACTTGATTGGCCAAAACGCTTCAACATAATTAATGGAATTGCCCGAGGGTTATTATATCTCCATCAAGATTCTCGACTAAGAATTATTCATAGAGACCTCAAAAGTAGTAATATTTTGCTTGATGTTGACTTGAACCCAAAAATATCCGACTTTGGTTTGGCTTGGAGTTTAGTAGGAAATGCAACTGAAGATAACACAAAACAAGTTGTTGGAACCCAGTGAGAATCTCAATTTAATCTTAAACATTTTTGCAAGCCATTTTTTTTCCCATATGTTTGTTCTTAATTTTCAATGCATCTACTCATTGAGTGATGTTGGCCATACAATGTAGTGGGTATATCTCTCCAGAATATGCAACACATGGGATCTTCTCAATTAAATCAGATGTGTTTAGCTTTGGAGTTTTGATGCTAGAGATAATTAATGGCAAGAGAAATAGCGAATTTTCAAATAAATATGGATATGAGAACCTTCCTGGGCATGTAAGTAAGATTTTCATTTTAGATGATTCCATTAATTTACTCACTCATGTAAGTAGAATATTCATCATTTCTCTCTATAATATTGTTAAATATATATTATACAGGCATAGAAGCTTTATAAAGAAGGAGAATCACTCACACTAGTTGATGAGCATATATCTGATTCATATGATGTAGCTCAGGTTCTAAGGTCAATACATGTTGGTCTTTTATGTGTTCAAAAATCTCCACAAGATAGACCAAACATGTCTTCTGTTGTTCAAATGCTGGTTAATGAAGATGTGTTGCCTCAACCTAAAGAGCCTGGCTTCTTCGTTGACAGAAGGGATGTTTTTAACTCAAAGAGTTCTTCAGGCAAACATGCAACAAGTTCCCTCGTTAATAAATGCATAACTTAGATTCTTTAAATTGGCTTAGAATTTAAATCATCTTAAGATATTCAACTACACATTTATTCCATATGTTTGTTTCATAATGTCATCTTCCCATTTGGTATCACCCATTCCCCCAGAATAGTTGATAAGTTGATTCATATGATATAGCATTTCCTCAAGCTAAGGAGCCTGCCTTCTTTGGCAAATTATATCGTGCGCCACGGTGAATAATCGATTATGCACCGAGCTTCAAAACGACGTTGTTTTGTTTAATGAAAAGAAACGGCACCCATTTCACGGTTTCGTACCATTCCGCAAAAAGTAACTCTATTATTCAGTTCAATTTTGTATGCACTGCAGTTTCAGTTCAACACAACTACAGTTTCATTTCGATATAATTAACTACAGATTCATTCGATATTTTTACACTCAAATATGTGAAAATGTTATTTTATTTTATATACAATATAGGGGGTAATCACACTTTTGGTCCCTCAATTAGTGTCCATTCTGCAATGTCATCCTTAGTTCCCAACTTGAACACATTTGATCCCTCAATTATTCGACATAGCATTGTTTATAATAAGTAAGGGAAATCGCACTTTTTGTCCCTCAATTAGTGCCCAATATGCAATGTCATCCTTAGTTTTCAATTGGAACACAATTGGTCCCTCAATTATTTGACCATTAAGCATATTTGGTCCTTCTGTGAGACCATCAGTTTAACTCCGTTTAAATCAGGGGTATAATTGAAATTTCACATGAGTAAGAATTGAAAGTAGTCTAGCCATCAACATAGCTGTGATTTCCGGTGATGATGGTCTGGTTAATGCCGTCGCCGATCATCATCAAGTATTTCTTGTTCTTGGCAATGGAGACGTATTCCTCGTACATGCCGGCAATCACGTATACGAGGAATTAGTCGCCGTCGAACAGAGTGTTTTTGGGAGGCAGCGGTGACGTAGTCATTAATGGTGGTAAAATTTCCAATCCCATCTTGACTCACAACCACAATGTTAGTCACAAGAACCTGGTCATCTTCCTGAGTTTACAGGAGCTTTCTCCGGCTAACTCGCTCGAAAATCTCATTCGTCTGTTCCGACATCTTCAGAGGCAAACGCCCGTTCCGGAACCCAAGCTGTTTCTTGGTCGGACGCCAAGCTCCGGCGCCAGCGGCCTTCTTCTTCCTCGGCACCCACCCTTTAGTGAACAGAGCCAGAGAAACACTAAACAGCTGCGTGTCGTTCGCCAGCGGCGCCACGATCCCATTCCTAACGCTCCAAGCCGACGACGTCGCTTGCAGGCTATCTATACACGTATGCGTGTTGGTGAGAATGGCGTTGAGCAATGTTTGCACTTCGTCGGCTTCCAACACCGGGAGATACCGGGAAGTCCCGTTGACAGTCTTGAAAGAACTGGAGAGATAATCCATGTTTAAACCAATGAGGAACTTGCAATCCTTGAGAGCTCGAACAGCGGTGGTGGTTAACGACTTGGAATTGCGGCGAAGGTACTTTTGGATCAATGACAGAAACTTGCGCGCAGCGGATAAGGATTTGCAGACGGAGAATCGGCCATAGTCGTAGACATTGGAAGAAGAGTTGTTGCTGGGGAGCAGTAAGATGGGTAACGAGTGGACTTGCAAATGGTGGATGCCGAGACTTTTCTCGACGGTGGCGGAGCATCTGCGACGACGAAATAACAACCGGCCAGAGAAAGGGGACAAATTACCTTATTATATTCAAGGCTATGTGAAATTTCAATTTGATGCGTAGTATATTTGCAAACAAATAATTCTCGGAGTACGAGTTATCGATCCACAGGGAAGTGGTTGTATCAAGCACTAGTTACTAATTTATTCATTAGAGCTAATCCTAACAATTACTTAGATGATTGATTGGCATAAAATAAATAAAATAAAACAGAGGTTCAAGATTTTGAAAACAATTAGAGAGAAGTTGAGATTCATGGGATTCAAGTATTTAATCACCTAGTGCCAATTATCGTTTGCAATATTTAGTTTGGAATTAAGATTTGTGTGGGAATGCAAAGTGGAATCGAATTACTCCCGTAATCTCTATTCCTAGTGAATTTCCACTCCCGTGGCTTAAACACCCAATAAGATCGAAGATCGGCATTCAATTATTCCTAATTACTACCATCTCCCGATTGGCAACAATCTAGAATAAACTTCCCCTAATAAGTTCCCCTTTCCCAAGGTCCAACTATTAGGTGCAATTGTGTGTACCCTAATTTATGCCCCAACTCCCATTGGTGACACAAACATGGCTATGAAGCTAGTAACTATGGCCATTAATTACAAGCATCAAACAATATTACCACGATTGCAACACAAGTATTAAACCCAAATAATAATATATTAAAGAAACTGAGAGCTCAGGCACATAGGTTCATAAACACTTTTACCCAAGAATCTCTAAAGAATTTAGGCAAGCATGACTAAATTATACATAGCAAATATAAATAAAGAATTACAAATCATCAAAAGAGTACAAGAATTAACCAGACGATTTTCCCAAATCTCCCTAGTCTTCTTCTTGCTTTCCAAGACAACTTGTGGCTCTTGATTTCTCTCCTTCTTGTCTCCAAGAATCTCTGAATTCTGAATTCTGGACTATACAATTGTCTATTCTAATTATTTACTATAAACTAAAACTCATTCTTCTTAGGGTTGAGGAAGGTGGGATTTTATAATAGGTACAAAGTTGGGATCAACCCTTGAGAAATTAGGAATATTCCTATTTAATAAATAAGAAATTGCCGTCTTTAATCATTTGATATTTCTGCCATCATATGATTAGGAAATTACTATCCTTTCTTTAGCTTTGGAGAATGCCACTTTAAATTAGGAAGTTTCTAAAATCGCGCCCAATGCAATAAGTACGGTTTGCAAGCTTATTTTGACCATTTTCTATTATTATCTAGACTTTGATGTCTGCATAAGAGTTGTAGCCCTTCGAATCTTCTTTCTAATGACGCAAGAATCACCTCAATCGGACATTCCTAGCATGAGATAAGATCAAAATACTAAACTGTTGCCAATCTGTGCGAGATGAAATGTCACTGGAAATTTTCCACACGTCGAGCCTGGGGCTCGACGCGTCGAGTTTTCTGCTGAGCCATATGTTGTAGCCCTTCGAGTCTTCTTTCCAATTGCGCAAGAATCACATGAATCAGACATTCCTAGCATGAGATATGATCAAAATACTAAGCTGTCGCCGAATTCAACGGGAATTACAACTCTTCGGTCTTTTGATTCACTTTTGACTCCAATTTTGTCCTAGGACTTTCCTTGCTCATAACTTTGACCTATAATGGTTCAAAAACACTAACAAACACCGTAAAACATTTAAAACAAGTGTGAACCATAATTAAATGATAATAGCAAGGAAAACATGTATTAAATAAGCAAAATTAATGAACTTAATTACAGAGATGATTCAAAATAACTATAAAAACAAGCACATATGTGATAACATCACCCCCTCAGACTTAAACCTTTGCTTGTCCTCAAGCAAAACCAAGGAATAAAATCACAAGTCAAGACATACAAATTACTCATGCTCTCTCTTGCACAACCTTTCAAACCACCAACCAACTTGCTACAAAACAACAAGCTTCAAGAATCAAATTAGTTTGGCACATAAGAGACCCATTTCCAAGCCAATAACCAAGCACCAAGAATTTAAAGTATGTGAGGATCAAGTGTGCACATGTACTCAATTGAGATTATGCAAGACACGGCTCATGAATGAGATCCCATAGGCTTGCCCTTCATACTCCTCTAGATCAAATCTAAGAATTCATGCTAAGATCAAATAGGACTTTATTAAGCTTGTAATGGGGCTACGGGTGATGGCTAACAAAGAAGTGGTATGGAAAAATTAATAAAAAAGAGAGAATGTCGCAATTTATCTAAACTTTTCAAAATTTGGAAGAGATGAGATGATCACAATTTCAAGGAGCAAATTTCTTTTAAGAACTTAGCAACTTTTTTGGTAAAATGGGGATCCAAACTCAAAAACTTTCATGGAGCAAATTTCTTGTAAGAACTTAACAACTCTTTGGAAAAGTGAGGATCCACACTCCAAAACTTTCAAACTTTTTCTTTTTTTTTTTTTTTTTTTTTTTTTTTTTTTTTCTTTGGATTTCTTTTTCTTTGGACTTCTTTTGGATTCAGCAAGACAATTTTAATCCAATCTTTCAATTCCTTCATACTTGAACATTTGTAATATCACCTACTTTTTGGCACAACCATAAAACTCTTCTTACAGAAATAATAAAGATAAAAGTTTCATTCTCTCAAGGGGTGGAAGGGAAATATTTGGCTAAGCGCTAATGGTTATAATAATCGGGGTAAATCAAAGAAAAACAATCACAAAGAGGGGATAAGTGCTTAGCACTTATTTGAACAAACAAAAGGTACAATGGGGACACGAAGGATAAAAATATATGTAGGGGACATGTTTAAAGGCTATGGCTAAACAAAAATGGCCTAAATCACTTCGAAACATGCAAAACTTAGACATCACTTAGGGAGTAATGAGGCAAGTTCTAGCAAAACACCCCATGACCGGAATCTCACATAAGCCTTCACTAGCAATGCAAAACACAAGATCAAGAATTAATCATTATTAGGTGGTGAATCAAAGCTATTGGCAAGGGAATAGTTCAATTATGTGTTACACCTCAAATCATCAATCACAAATTGAGATGCAGCAAGCACCACTAAAACAAACCACTAACCAACAAGAGAGAGTAATTGCAATTGCATGCTAAGACAAGTAACTTATTCACCAAAAATAGCATGAGTCATCCAACCAAAAGCAAAAAATTTTATTTTATTTTTTTTTAAAAAAAGATCCCCAAATTAATGGCTCCTCCCCCACACTTAAAAATTTGCATCGTCCCTGATGCAAAATAAAAGAAAAGGAGAACAAGAGAAAAGAGAAAACTAAGAAGCAATAAAATAATCACGAACTAGAAAATAATAAAACTAAATAAGACGAAACTAGAAAGCAATAAATAAATAGGGAAAGTAATAAAAAACATGGGGTGCCTCCATGAAGCGCTAAATTTAACGTCGTTAGCTCGACGTTACCT